CTCATTTGCAAACACACCAATTCAAGAGCTTTTCACTCTTGTCTTTCTTTCTCCTCCTTTATTTCATTATAGAGTATTTTGTAAGAAAGTGAGTGTTGGAAAACACTTGTGTGAACCCTTTCTTTGGAGTGATCTTGTAAGGTTATTCTTTTGGGGTATTTGGAATTAATTAGAGTATTTACTCTAATTTTGTACTCTTGCTAGTATAGTGAAATTGCTCCTCTCCGCTTGTGGACGTAGGCCACCTTGACCGAACCACGTTAAATTTGTGTCTTCTTTATATTCTTTAATTGCCATTATTATCAACTTTCATTGTCTTTGTTATTGTCATTATACCGTTGTTTGGCTAAATTCCGCACTATCCGAGTTTTCGATTCTAACAGATACCTATATTAGTAGGAGAGGATAGAGCAGGGAAATGTGCACTCCACCAGTCAACTTGAAGCCCCCATTTAGAGATAACGTGGTATTATAATCAGTACCGGAAGCATGATTTCTGTTATGGTGTTTCAAAAAAAATAAAAAGTTAAAACACTAAAAAAGATGGTGGCCAATAAAAATTGAACCAGCAATCTTATAAAGGTTTTGAACCCTTGATCACTAAGTTATGCTTTTGAGCTATGTCAAGGAGATTCAAAATATATAATATAAAGGTACAAATCGAATTTTGTTTTATATGTAGTGTAATTTTTCGGCGAAAGAGATTCGGATGAAACCCCTTCCGCCCCTAAATCCGCCCCCGGCTGTAATATGCTATGAGGGTGCAGGAGCTGGGAAGAAGAGTGATTCAACAAGTCCAATGGAGTGACCTGATGTGAAGGTTGACCAATACACTTGCCAAGAACCGAGACATGGAATCTTGAGAAGGATGGAACGTCAACTTTGTAATTCATCTTCCAAGTTTGATATGGTTAGCAGAGGCAGACTCAAAAATTTTATGCGCTGGGTCACATTATGCTGCTCAACTAGTTTCTCTAAAGTTTTTAGTGTTGAGGGTACCACGTGCTTTAACTTAACCATTTTCAAAGTATATATATGTATATATACATGATTTCGGCCAGAGACGGATCCACGATTCGATGACTACGGGTGCCACTATATTTAATTAAAATTTACCACTAGTCAAGGAGATTAAATTAGGCTGTATATTTTGCAAATTTTCTATTTTTTATTCGATTTTGTTTTGAATTAATTCGATTTACTTTATAAGATACATGATAACTAAACTAAAAACGTTTTGTCCTTTTATTTAAAATCAAAGGGAAAACAACAGTATATGGATAACAGAAGAAATAATTAAAATTATATTTAAATAAAAAATATTTTAGATCTAGAAAAAGCAAAAGGAAGCAAATGTTTAATATATAGTAAAAATGGGGTTGTACAATGAGAGGAAAGACAAAGATGAACAAAATGACAAGAATTTAAGAAAAAGAGAAGAAAGATTTACAAATGGAAAAAGGGAACGACTAAGGCCGAGAGGGAAAAGCAAAATTCCATTGCCCATCAATAGCTTCGCTCGCGGGTCTTGTATGTGGAAAGCGGTTATCTTACCATGACACCTACGTTCACTTTGTAATCTAGGGTGCCACTCTTTGTAAAATAATCATGTTTACGTGAAATACCAGAATATACAAGAAATTCTACCCGAGCGTCCGGGTGACGTACCACCCCGTCTCCTCTATGTAGACCCGCTCCTAATTTCGGCCGAAATTTACGGGGTCCGATGACCCCTCGCCCCGCCTCTTATGGTTAGTAAGTGCATGGCTAGTGAGGAGTCTTAAGTATAAAAGCTACCTAGTAACTCCATTCAGTTGACCCGATCAACACCCTATTAAATCAAGCACCATATTGATTCTCTTGGATTCTTGAGTCTTTGCACATTAATGAGTTACTGGGAATCGAGCGTAGAAGTCAGAATTAGAATCATCCAGAAATTAATGCCGCAATGAAATTTGTAGTTGATGGATACTCCTACCAATTTAATATTTATGACATTGTCTACTCATCTCATTGAGTGTGTTTGGCTCAGCTTATAAGCTGGTCAAACTAACTTATAAATATTTTTCGGTTTATTTATGCATTTGGTAAAGTTAAAAGTGATTATAAGTCAATAATAAGCCAAAAGTCATAAGCTGATCACCCCCAACTTATAAATTTTTAGCTTATAAACACTTTAAGTTTGACCAAAATTTTTACTATTTTATCCTTAAAATATTCTTTTTTAGAACAAAACTCTTACATCGATACTCACTGTCTCAAATATTATTTCAAATACTGCAGCTTATTATCAATTTCAGCACTTGTATCCAAACACGTAACTACTTATTTATTAAATCAGTTTCAGCACTAAAAAGTAATTTTCAGCACTCAATGCTTATCAGTTATTTCAAATCAGCTAATCCAAACGGGCTCATTGTTTACTTTTAGATTTTCGTTATTAAAGTCTGAGAAGGGCAGGTTTTTTCTAGATGCGTGTAGCAGTCAATTTTGATAAAAGATGGAGGTCAACATATGCTTCACCCCGTAGCAATGAGATAATCAACACATAAAAGGGTCTCAGAAACAAAAAGAAATAAATAAAAAAGAAGAAAAGGCTTTATCTGTTATTGTAGGGATCGCTCCAATAGGAGAGCAGAAAAAAAGAAAATCAAGCTTAAGATTTACTAGCCAAAGTTCAGATGCGAAGGATATTTATAATTGATTATCTATTCTCTAATATATTCTAGACATTACTCCCCCGATACATAATAAATGACCAATTTATCTTTTTATTTTAGTCCAAAATAAGTATCAATTTATATAATCAAGAAAAAATTCAATTTGTTTTTCCAAAATTACCCTTATGTATGTATCCCTAAAAAGTCTTTTACTTCTCACATTAACTATACTGCAACATTTAATTAAGGGTAGTTTAATCACACTAACTATTTTTGTCTAAAATTTTGTATTTCCTTAACAGATGTGCCCAAGAAAAATTGATCACTTATTGTGGAACGGAGAGAGCAACAAGTTCACATATATCTAATTCAAAAAGGTGATAATTTTATCCCATGTAACTGAATTATGAGAACTAAATTGGGGTGGAAAGCCCCTTGGTGGATATATAAAATTGGACTTCAAATGGCTTAATTTCGTCAAAATCAAAAGGTTGGAAAACAGAGAGTTTGACCTCTACCTTTATAGACCGACTTCAAAAGACATAACTTAAAATTTGCACAAACAAATGCCTTCATCAATTCAATTATAAAAATTGCTCAAATTGCGGAACTTAAACCAATCTTGTGTATCCATTCAAAGTTATTTACAGGAGAAGATAACCTTCCACGTGTGGCTTACGTTATGCAAAGACCTACAATTTGCTGAACAGATCACAAGCTTGTTATGATGCTTAACTACTCTAACCCCAAAACAATACATTTTGTCAAGAAAGAATATCACTACTAAAAAAATCAAGAATTAGAAATGAACAAATTCTATACCTAAACAACAGAATCTGTTGCTAATTTTACTTAGAGCCCGTTTTACCAAGCCGCCAAAAACTTGTTTTTCTAAAATGTTTTTGTAAAGTAGCAATTTGTGTTTGGCCAATTCATTTAAGTAGTGCTTTTTGAAGCAAATTGTGTTTGATTAAGCTTTCTAAAAAGTATTTTTAAGTATCAAATTATGAAAAAGGACAATTTAGGTTCATTTTGCAATTAGTATTATTTAAAAGAGAAAATTAATTTGAATATTTATTATAAAGGAATTCAATTTACAGATAAACCTAAAATAAAATACAAATTAAAATATTCAATTAATATAAAATATAATTATTCCAAAGCAATAATATTGGAGTATTTGATAGTATTACTTATTATGTACATGATAATATNTATATAAATGAAGAAATTTATTTATAGTAGAGAGAATAATTCTAAAAAGGGGTAGGAGAAAGGGAATAAAAATATGACGAAAATAAAAAAGATAATAACGGTATAATAAAAAAGCAAAATAAAGGAAAAAAAGGAAAAAGTTAAATTAATGAGGGGTAACTTAAAAAATATAAATTTATTGTAAGGATATTTTATCCTAAATTAATTAATTTCCTGCTGTTACTTTTGGTTCTACTGTTACTTTTGGGAAGAAGTTAGAATTTATAGTTTCTCTCCAAAAGCAGATAAATTGTTTATGCTAGAAGCTGCTCAAAAATATTTTTTATTTTGGCAAAATATTTCAAATTTTTCACAAAGTACTTTTTTAACAGAAAAAAAAATACTTCTAGCTTCCCATAAACTTGGCTCTTAGTGATAAATTAGCGACACATAGGATTAAGTCCATAGCTAACTTCAATTTTTTAAGTAATGAACTTCATTTGAGACAGTAAACACTAGAGACAAATCTTTTAGAGTCGAGCATATCACATAACTATGCTGCTTATATTACATATATAAACACTTTTCTCTCTTTTCACATAAGATATGTATATTATATGTATATATGAGTCGATAATACAAATACATCCAAGAATATGATCCAACGATAAATGAAATGAAAATCTATATCGCAAGAGATCAAGGTTCAAATTATACTCGCAAGGAGTGACACCAGTGAAACATTCAAACTTTTCAAGTACTCGAATTACAAGATTAAAAGATAGGAAGGAATGATGAAGTAAAATGTATATATTTCAAGATATAAGTGATGGGTTTTTGTGATCCATTTCTTATTCCCAAACAGAGTTACACTCCTACTAGTACAAATTTAATAGTAGAGTATAAAAGCACTCCAAATACTCAGATTAACGTTAAGAAATCGCTAAAAGAACAGTAACCCAACATTTAATTCCTTTTTCTCATTAAATTGGGATTCAGAAAGACCGAAACGGTTCCCCAATGCGAACGCCGATATGCACCATCGGAAAGTGGAAATCGACGTCAAAGGAACACAGAAACGGCGGCCACGTTTCTACAACTTTTCTCATTCATCTATTTTATATGTACAACTTAAAGAAACAAAGAAACTTTTCTTTTCAAAGCGAGTCTTATTTTCTTTTTATTTCACTCGACAAGTACTAAGAGAGGCTACTCTTGCCAGGATTATCAGCAGCTTGGAGAGTTTTGTCGATGAGCTTACGAGCCTTTCTGCTGCGGATCTCCACTCTCACACTGGAGCTTTTGTCCATTTTGATGTACGGTTTCTTCGATTTCTTCAATTTCCTCACCTTCGATTTTATCGATTCCACCAAATTCTCCAATTGAATCGCCATTTCCTTCATTAATATCGGAGAAAAATAATAGAGCTTGGATATTATCGAGGAGAAAAATGAGGAAATAGAAGAGTAAACTGGAGTTTAGTGGGTTACCTCTAATTAGGAAGAATATGAATGAGTTACAAAAGTAGCAATCCCAATCTCTCTGTATTTGTATTTATGGATTTTGTGAATGAGATTGGTGTACTCAGTTGAAATTTGCCGTTTCTGTTTTGCGTGCCAGAATATAATGCATGTTATTTTGACTTGACTAGGCACCCCTTTCCTAAATAAAAGCCCCTGTTTTCTCCAATTATTACTATTCTTTGCCACTCCGTTTTTCTTTTTCTACTCTACTTATTCTCTCTGCCGCCAAAGAAAATTTGACTTCTTAAAAAAAAAAAAAAAAAAAAAAAAAACCAGCTCGGCCGAAATAAGCAATCATAATCATGAAGTTTGAAATCACTGAATTTCTCCACTATTATATTCTAAAATTAGCAGTTGAGTTATCTATTGGCAAAACTATTTTTAAGCAGTGTTATATTTACATAAATAATAATAAATAAATAAGTATTATTTAATATTATTTATGCGAGCTCAAAGATGACATCCACACTTGAACCTACAATCTTTACAAGCCAAAAATGAGCTTGATTAATGGATCAAGAAGTATTCTTTGCCAAAAAATGATGTCATTATTATATATTATTTTATTTTTACAGAATATTAGTATAAATATTTTAATCTTTTTTCTAGCGAAGCGGTATTGAATGACACTTCTATCACCCATGCACATCCGCCCCTGTCTGATAACAGTGCAAAAAGTTACCCAAATTAACAGCTAGTATTTCCAACGTTCAGGTAAGTATCGAAAGTAGATTGATAACTAGAAAAGGATGGTGAAGAACCTTTCAAACCAATCAAAATTACAATAGTTAGTCTATAAAACTTAAATTCTTACAATTCACAATTACGACCAATTAAAAGGACAAGAGTCCCGTCTTTTCCTTCTTTATACACTGAATCATGGAAAATATTACTCGCAATAAAGTAAAGTATCTCAGTTTAATAGCAACTTTAAGTGGCAAATGTTAACCCAACAAGTCAACGAAGGTACTTTTCCGTGGTTATTTTGATATTTGAGATTTTTGTTGTTGATATTTGACTTTAATTGCTGGATATTAATCCAATTGTTGTGAAAGCTTTTATTGGCTTTGGATGAGCCAATATGGTCCATTTTGGGTTCCACCAACATCATTTTCACACATTTGACATATATCATAAAAAGCCAACAACAAAACTGTTTTCTCTTGAGATTATTTCAACCACAGTATTGTGCAGCAACTTGGTTAATTTTAGTCCCACAATAATTTGCAAGGAATCAAGGTTAATCGATCATCTATTAGTTATGTGAGAAATAAAATTATATAAGTGTAGCTACTAATTTCATTAAAGGTAAATTACTTTGAAGCAAGTGGCTTAACAAACCATGATCCACTAAACACTGATTCCATTCCTGTCACGCACAAACAATGGACAAACAAACAATGAAAGTTCACATGTTCAGTTGTCTAAACATTAATAATTCTCCACTAAATAAATCAATCAAACTGGAGCTCACTTTAAGTAATGACAACTCTAAAATTTCATGCAAGTGAATGTCTCTAAACACAAAATCAAGACGAAACAAAATAATAAAATGAGACAAATGATCACATGTTTATTTACTAAACCAACTACATAATCAGAAGTCAAGTCGGGCACACAAAACACATTACATCTATGGCATAGTTTATAAAACTTAAAATTGAACAAGTCGCAACCAAACGTACTCCAGATTTAATAATAGTGAATTGAATACTAGACCAAGAGATCTACTTCAACGGTTATAACTTTTAAGCAAACTCAGCAACAAGAATACATATGATAAAATAGAGACCTTTCTACATTATGAGAAAAATTGACTAATGACTCTATTTACACTTAACCACTATCATGTTCCCTTCATTAAATCAAACACGGAGAATAAACCTCCCCTAGTTATAGTCATTCTCACAGCGGAATTAATTATATATTATAACATAGACAAGATTTAAATAGAACCTAACGTACACAAGAACCAAAGTCTTAAAAGATCAATTATATTACCATCTCATAATCGCCAAAAAACTAGCTGAAGCTTCCTCTTCCTCTTGAAGTTTTTCTTTTTTTAGACAAGAATAGTTGACAGAAGCAGCTCACTTATGACTTTATGAGATAGTGCCTGCCCCAGATACATCAAAGAAAGATATTCCTCAACCGCTTCTCACCAGACATTACATAGATATAAAAAATTACATAATAAGTTGACTTAACAAGTACTACTTATTATGTAATTTTCGTTACTTTTTTATTAAAAAAAGATGTCGAAATTACATAGTAAGTACTTATTCAAAAAAATTTAAAACAAAATCTTCAGTGTAATCCAGTCATCAGCTTCCTCTAACACTTGTAGAAATTCAAACTGCAACTTTTCTCACCTAGTTTCAAAAATGAGTCAAAACTCATTAGAGAAACCAGTTAATCTTTTGAACGCTTTCTACATCAGTGAAAATCCAATGTTGTAATCCCACTGAAGTGAATACCAATTCGTCATCATTCTGGAAAACACTCACAAGGAAGACAAAGGAGGTGATGCTCATTGATATGATTGATTAAATGCAGCTTCATGGTACATCTCCCCATCAAAAGAGCTTCTTTTAGATGGAAATTCTTTAAAATGTCTGTCTATGATGAAGATGCAAATTTACCAATTCTATATTGTAGAGGAATTTTGAAGCTCCTTGTTTGTTAAAGTGTTAGAATAAATCGCGGGCGAGAATAATATTAGCGTACATGTCAACAACGCAATGGAAGAATTATTGAACTCACCACCAAAATAATAGTCCCAAATCGTACTCTGAATCTCTTGGAGACATAGTTTTATCGACGAACTAAATATCCGAGATTTTGTATGTGTTTATGGGAGAATTCAAGAGGAAGTTTTTCTGTCTCTTGAAGTTGTATTTGAAAGCGTATGCAGACTTTTCCTTTTAAAGAAGAAAAGATACGGTTTTCTTCTGAAAAGCCAACTTCTCACTTTTCCATAGTTTTTCTCCCCTTTATTGTGCAGTAACTTCTTTATAGATAACTCCCTTATCTCTCTTACATCAGTTGGGTCAGCCAACATAGAGCGACCCAAAAACAAAAACAAAAAACCATTATCTCCCACTTCGCTTATGATGGGTTGGACTCAAATCAGTATCATGAATAAACAACACACTTAATTCATACAGACAAGTAGTTCGTGCGACCTACGAACATCAAGAGGTATAATATATTTCAAACCTATTAAGGTTATTCTGAAGCTCTATGTAGAAATTCGATCACATTTGGAAAGGATTCACTACTAACACACGGATCTTATTACTCATTATACCCCACACATCACCCGCTACTCCAGTAGCTAGTTATTCGATCCCTCATCCTCGAAAGAGGTGAACTCGAGTTCATGTTTTAACAATGTATCCATAGTTACATTTGATACCCTCATGGTAAGTGTAGTAGTCGACCTATGAATACAAGTTAAATTACTAAATTTTAGTCGCCTTCCCTTTCTACTCGAATCCTTCCATTCCAAATCAACTGCTTTCCTATACACTACATTGCCGGATCACTCATGGCTATTAGTGACATGCTAAAGTAGCAACATCGATTGGCACTTCAAGAAACAGTAAAAGATCAAAGGGTATTCCAATAAAAGTTAATGTAACTTCTTTAGGATCTCACACAATGAAGAAGCATGGATTCATTCTTCTATTATCCCACCGGTCGAAAGCACACGTGGTACGACACATATGTTACGGTATTCTCACCTTATGTTGGTGCGTGTGTCTTATTCTTTTAATCATTCAACAGCGTACAAATGATGATCTAGACACCTCCAAATATCTAACCCGAGTTTCTCACTTCAATAATTCTCAAATCCAACTTTTTGGAGAAACTCGTATCGGGCTTACAAAATAAGTCATAATCGAATGTTAAAATTTGTAAGTCTAACTTGTTGTCAAGATCGACCTTTACAAGTAAATATAACCTCGCATTATCCAAGGTTCTATAAGATCGCATTTCTTCACGATTCTTAACGTAAGAGACGATTGCTCGTGTAAGAGAGCCAATCTCGCGACTTGTTCGACACGGTTTATCAACAAAACATCATCACATGCATACGAGATATAAGCATAAATTCAAGAGTCAAATATGGATGAGCATATTATAATAATCAAGTCATTTTACAATACATAAATATGATCATATCCTTCGCAAACCTAGAACCATAACATGTTTCTCAAATAGGTCTCTAGATATCTCTTTTGTAAAAAGATCAGCTATCATGCTTCGCGTAGGAATATACTGTAAATTTATCGCTCCACTTGCTACCATGTCTCTCATAAAGTTATACTTGATGTCAATGTATTTGGTCCTGCTATGATACATAGGATTTTTTGTGTGTGCAATAGTCGCTTGACTATCACAATATAGAGTCAGGGGACCCTGAGAGTTCTTTGTAATATCTAAATGCTCAAAGAATCTCTTCAACCAAACAACTTCTTGTACTGCATACGCACAAGCCACGAACTCAGCTTCCGGCGTCGAAAGGGTTGTACAAGTTTGTTTCTTACTTTTTCATGAAATAACACCACCATTAAGTAAGAAAACATAACCGGATGTTGATTTTCTATCATTCCGGTCACCAGCCCAATCAACATTTGTATATCCTCTCAAGTATAAATCATTTCCACTATAACATAGTGAATAATTTGCAGTTTCCTTCAGGTATCTGAAAATTCTCTTTGTAGCTTTCCAATGATCTCTTTCAGGATTGGATTGTTACCTGCTAACCAGACCTACGACATAACAAATGTGTGGGCGAGTACACATCATAGCGTACATCAAGTTCCCAACATCACTTGAATATGGAACTTGAGACATGTCTTCCTTTTCATTTTTATTCTTGGAACACATTTCAAGGCTTAAAGTTTCACATCTTGCTATAGGAATATCCATGGATTTGCAACTATTCATACGAAAACACTCCAAAATTTTCATTATATAAGTTTCTTGAGATAGACTCAATAACTTTTTGGAACGGTCTCTTTGGATATTAACTCCAAGGATAGTATGCCTCACCCATATCTTTCATGTCAAATAAATTTGAAAGCC